GACATCACGTGGCATGATTACCTTGAAAATGGCCAAGTCAAGGTAGGGCATGCATTTTGGGATTCAAGTGGCTGTAGTTTTCGCAATTTTATGTATTGTGATCTCCATGTCCATTGCGTTTATCAGTGACCTTTATGCTAATAAAGAGAGGTTTGACCACAAAATAGTCAAAATAAGGATTGTGAATCTTGAAATTTATGGAGGGCAAAGTTTGCCTCCCCACAAAGATTTAAAATCTCATCAAGCTCTCTACACTTCTTGAGGTCACTTTTTTATTACAATCAAGATCCTTTTAGAATCATGTGAAGCGGCTTCGTAGAGTGCGTTTAGGTATATCGAGAGATCTGAATGATGCTCTGTCATATTTTGCCCAACAATTACGTTCTTGTTGTCTTGATACGCAGATCTTTAAAGGTCCTCAAAAGTCGGGAGACCGACATATGATCGACCATAAACTCCGCTACCCAATCGAGGCGAACAGTATTCGCATTCGCCCGTGGGAATATGAAGAGCTGATCTGTATCAGGTTCGAGTTATAGGGCTGTGACATTCCAGGTTCTCCAGGTACGATCAGTAGAGTATAGAGGAAAACTGTAACTAATGGCCACGGAAGGGAGGCTCCTCCCAATTGTGGTACAGTAAATTAAAATGTAATTTGTCATTGAGGTATACGTACTAATAGGAATCTAAGTTCAAATTGAGCCTGCAGGTCAGGCGCCAATACTTATCAGAGCCTTTGTACTGGCGCAGGCGCAGGCGCAGGCGAGAATTTGATTATAAAAACAGGAGACAGCAGGCCAGAGAGGCTTGAACGAGTGTTAAATTTACCATCAAAACTAGAAACATACATAAAAAACATAGGCCTTTCCGGACCTTGAAACGGACCGCGTAATTTAACGAACTAACCCGCATGTTTGACAATACTCACCTATAGGTAACACATTATAACGGACACACCAAGGCACGTCGGCGTCGATATAGCCTTTTTGACGGAAGCAGGAAAAATTCAAAATTTTTTCCAATTTCTAACTTATCAATTCTTATCACGACCTAACGTGAGTAGGCAAAATAGCTGCACTCAAGAATATGTTTTAAATCAATGATCATTCCTTTCCTCTTCTCTAGCAAACTGCATCTCTCCTCTGGGTCTTGAATCTGGTGAAATTACTGACGCAGCTCTGACACACAGCCTTCCTTCCAATAGCGATACTAAGCCAGAGTACATCCGTCTCCACAATAACGTGAAGAACTTCCCTTATGGATGGTATCCATCATCGCCTGATGACTATTTGCAGATAGACTTCGGCTCACTGCGCAGGGTGACGAGAATGTCTACGATGGGAGGAACTTACTCATTTTTTTACGTCAAGCTGTACGAACTAAAGTACAGCTTGGATGGTATGACGTGGGTGGATTATCGTGAAAAGTTGAATGGACCAAAAAGCAATAAAGAGGCCGTTTACGCAGTCCTCGCCAAATTAGCCGAGCCATTCGTGGCCCGTTACTTACGAATCTTCCACGACGCTAAGGGTGGGGCCATGAGAGCAGAGGTTTACGGATGTTTTGCTGAAGAACTTCCACCTTATGATGGTAAGAGGAATAAAATTAGAAATTTTTTTATCAAAACAATTGTAAGAAATGGATTGAACCCGTGAAGAACAATCGATCGTACAGTTTAATCTTCGTCAATTTTCTAGAAAGGAATGTTGTCAGTGACCTGGTGACCAATATTTGATGACTTGATCAAAAGTTTTAAGTTGAATGTTTTAGGTCTGGCTCGCGCAAACTGATTGGTAAATTTTACTGCGCTGCCTTTTGTCCAAGCAGCGTTTTTTTTTTAGCAATAAGTCACTTACAATGTATATATGAAGTTCATATATTTTGAACTGCGGTATTAAATACGTATGATGCACGATCCTCGCAGTAGAGAGCGCTATTTATGCAATAGCGAAAATCAGACCTGAAAAAAATCAGGCCTGTACGAGATTCGAACCACTGACCTCTGCGATACTAGTGCAGCGCTCTACCAATTGAGCTAACAAGTTCACAATACCGCAATACCGCAGTTCACAATACCGCAGTTCACAATACCGCAGTTCAAAATATATGAATTTCATATATACATTGTATCTGATTTATCATCACGGTTTATTACGAATCAACTTAACGGCCTGCTCCCAGTTGGCTTGTTAGCTCAATTGGTAGAGCGCTGCACTAGTATCGCAGAGGTCAGTGGTTCGAATCCCGTACAGGCCTGATTTTTTTCAGGTCTGATTTTCGCTATTGCATAAATAGCGCTCTCCTACTGCGAGGATCGTGCATCATACGTAATAAGTCACTTGTAGAAAAGCCACCGTCACACTTAACAGTTTCTTTCAGGGCTGCACCCTTACGGATGATCTCGCGCTACGTGATCGTCTTGTAAGGGAACTGTCATTATTTATCATCTGGCGAAGGGGTTTCGGAGGATTTAAGAGGGGAATCGCTTGGCTTTCAGAGGGAACGGAGAGGGATCGGCGGTCACTAACAGAGTACAGAGGGGACAATATGGAAAATTGACTGCCAGTCATCATTAGAATACCACACAGCCTTGTTGGGGAATCAGATAAATCTTTTTTGTGGCACAACCAAATACTTATGACTCCCCCCCTCCCAAGACCGGTCTCTAACAAGGGTTAATTTTTACATCAGTTCGAATTCCTTTGTTCTTTTCGGAGGGAATATATTACATAACCCCCGAATCAACTGTCTGAAAAGCTGGGTGCTGCTTTGATTGTTTGAAGGGAAGAGCGGGGCTAATGAACAGCTAATTGAAATGCGGGGGGATTATGTATTAATATGCAAGGGGGATAAGTGACTTATTCCCTTGCATATTAATACATAATCCCCTCGGATTTAAATTACCTGTCCATGAAGAACAACTTTACAAATGTTTATTCAGAAATATTAAATACGACGCTACAATTTCTGAAATTAAACTGAGAGGTATTCTTCCTTCATTCCTCGCCTGAATTTCCTCGGTTACAGTAGTAATCCCTCGGCCGGAATCTTTTTTATCTGTAAAAAGGTCCGTCAAAAGATCCTCGGTGCGTAAATTAAAATTGTCAACTGCCTTCTCGTTGTCTGCACCCGCAAATAAAGATTCAAAGTTGTTTTCCGAAACCTCAATCGAGGTGCCGCCACTAAAACTGCTTTGAGTAGCAAACAGTTCTGACTCTGAATCGCTCAATATTGCTAGCCTGTTCCTAGCATTCACTACGAACAAGACGAACAACTAATTCGAAAAGCGACTTTAAAAAACTAACATAATAAAAAGGCCGAGAAATTTGTGAATCACACCAATGCCAGCATGGAGTGTTGAAAAACAAAACAAACATGAACAATAGAGCCATTTTTCTTCAGTGCATTTTTGCATCCCTTAAGGAATCCTCGCACATGTAAAAATAAGCCATTTATCGGCCTTCAGCTCGTGGTTATGTGATTTATTCCCCTGGTGCGTTGCCCGACGGCTGCGCCCTCTGGCAACGCATGAGGGGAATAAATCACGTAACCACGAGCTGAAGGCCGATAACCCTTACTAAACAATTTATTAAAAATTAGGATTTTTCCTTTGCGGGCACTTTATCATAAGACTGAATCTCAATACTTTTGCTGTTGTTCTGCAGGAGTCTCTATGTATGCTCGAAGGTCCTTCCTGTTGGATCCCGTCACTGACAGGTTTTATGTCTGCATGTACACAAGTGAATTGTAAGTAACGATAGCGCGGGTTTATTCAGTTGTAATTGCTTTTGAGCTTACGAAAACAGCCTTCAACTGGGCTTTCATAATACCTATTACAACTTACCAATACGAGACCAGTCATAAAACACAATTGAACTTGATAAGAATCGTATCAACTCTGGTTCGAATCAGTTAATAATTCAGAAAAGTTTACTTATCCAAAATTTATCTTAGAATTGAAAGCAGCTGCTTTTCAACCACAGATGGTGTGGAATGGATTGGTAAGTATTATTTTGTGTTACGTGAACATACCTCTAA